GGAACAGACGCTTTGTTCCTGCAATGGTTGCCTTGGCTTTTCGCAGAATCCTATGTTTCCTGGCTCTGTAATGGAAGCTGTGGGAGACGGTTCTCATTTGTTTTCCTTTGGGAACATAGTTGCCAGGCAATTATTTTACACCCTGTAGCACTGCAGACATGTCTCTTCAAGTCCAATCTCTTACCACGTAACTGAGAATGTACTTTACATTAAAAAGAAGCCTTTAAAAAAGGCCCTTCAGGCATAAAGTCAGTGTTTTCTATATATAACCCTGTATTATTAATACAATGAATTTATCTCTAGCCTCTGTGGGTGAATATGACTTGATCATTGGAGATACGAACAATATGATATTCTTTTCCAATGCACCAAGTATCTGACTGCATAATGGTGCCCGCAGCCTTAGATTCATTGCTTAGTGATAAAGTGGAGCAATAGTGTGAGATAGGCTTGTGGACTGCATTTTTGCTGAGCATTAGTATAAAATAAATAGCTCATAGAGAGAACAAGTTTACCTTGGTCCAGAAGTGCCAAGATCTATAGATCTGGGGCAGACAAGAATGATGAGTTTGAGCATGTGTTATTGAAATAAGGCCAGAGAGGTATGACAAAAGCTTCCCTGGGTTTGGTTATAGGAGCTGCAATAAAGTTGCTTTGCTTCAAAATTTCAAGGTGGTGATTGATGTGTATGTGTAGGTCATTTGTCACTGTATGTATTATGTGAGATCACTTTCCTTTTTCAACCATTGAAGAAAATTTTAGAGTGGACTTAGGAGGCTCCTTTAGCCCAGGTCCTTGTAAATTTTAGCTTTTGAAATCCAGTGAGACAAATGCACATGTGCTGACTTCTGTGGCTCTGAGCAGGGGAGGACTGTGGCAGGTATATGAGCTTAAACATAGCTCAAGCATGGTACAGGGTTTAATTACTGACAGTTATTGTGTTAGGTGTTCTGCTCACAAAAGGGCAGAAAGATGGATTTCATGTTTTTAGTTTACACTAGTCCAATTGATCAGTCTGGTTTAAACTTACTTCTGAGGAACATGAACTTGCAAAGTGCTGATAGCCACGTAGTCCTGTTGATCTCTGCAAAGCTATAGCTAAATCTTAGCAGAGCTGCTCTTTCAGACTGAGCAGGAGATGCCTGGCATGGATGAAGTGAAAAGCCTGCTGAAGACAGAGGAAGCTATTATGAATAGAAAGGCAGCCCATAAAGAAGGGGATGACCTAGGTGAAGGCCTTGAGACTTACAGAAAAGTAACTGGGCTAGCAGCATTTTGTGGCTATATGCAGTGATATCACTAAAGCAGCACTTTGCAGGCTGTAGCCCCAATGGCCTGTGAAGGACTCATCTCTGGGACAAATATGAGGGCCTAAGAGTAGCAGGGGTATAGGCAGGGTAGAGCTGACTTTTAGCAGTGATGCAGATCTGTCTGAGGCTGCAGCTGTAGTGCTGTTGTCAGCTTGCTGGGGGCCCGGCGTTTGCCACGATTACTGGGCCAGCTTTACCTCCATCTTCTCGCTTGTTCCCTGGACTGTCCTACTCCAGTGGGAGGTCTTCCATGGTTCCCTTTTTGGGGTAAAAGCCCATGCCTCTGTCACTCCTAGGCACTTGGCCAGTGTGTTGTCTGCATGAATTTCACTGGTGTGTGTGAATAGCTTCCTGGTAACTATTTTCACCTTAGGGCAGAAAGTTTTTAACCGAATGTCCTCTTAACATATTCTTTCCAGCTTTGGCAAAACAGCTGTGAAAATTGACAGGAGCAAAGAAATAGCTTCACAGCTAATGTGGGCCCCTAGGGTTTCCTGGTGCATTTTGGCAGGAGGTTGTCCATCGAAAGCAGTTTGCCGCCGTGCCCCTCTGTTCCCCATGTCCCTGCTGTTAACCAGACATCCATGTCAAGCTGAACCTTTGAAGGCTCAACCTGGGCTCGGCACACAGGGCCTCTCCTTATAATCCTCGCAGCCTTTTTGCATGATGTCAGTATTTTGCAGGGAGCTGTCAGGCCTTTTGCAACATTTACATAAGTCTCACTAAATAGAGCTAGTGTCTGGGAGCTGTGATTGCTGATCTGCTGGGGAGCAGGCTTGTGATGGGAAATAAGGGCAGTAAGAGTGCGCTCTGTTATCTGACAGCAGAAAGGGCATGAGGAGGGTCCTGCACACAAACTGAAGCTGTTCAGTCGGGTTATAAATGGGAACGTAATGAGTTCAGAGGCATGTTTGTATGTAGGAAGCCATGTAAAAATAAATGGGGTAGAGGAAGATGGAAGAGTGATTTTTAGCCATGAGCAGAGGCTGGTCTTGAATAAATGCTGATTGCTTAATAGCAGGTAATCTCTGCTGTGCTAATGCAGATATTGTAGAAGGCCTATATATTTATAGGTCATAGCCAATGTCAAAGCAAGAATTTGGGCTGTGCTACCTTGGATGTAACACAGTTGTTCCTAGTGGTTTCTGGTTAAAAATCAGTGTGGTGACAGTTTCTTTCCCAGCCTTCTCTTTATTTCAGCAATTTTTTCTCTTCTGTGACTATGTTAATGTTTTGGAGGCTACTTTGGTGTTGGCACTTCATGCTGTTTCCTTCTGGATGCTCAAGGCTGGTGTGATGGTTTTGTTCTTTGGGGACATGGCCCTGTGCACCTTGCGCCGTGGAGCACGGGCAGAAGTGGTACCACTGGGTGACAGGGTCAGAAGGAACGGCGAAGGTGGTCAGGCCGGTGGAATAAGAAGGCCTGCCTGCGTTGGTCAGGAGAGTGGGTGTTTGCTTTGGATCGTTCTCCTCTTCTTTTGCTTCCTTCTCTTAGCTGAAGCAACGCAAGAAACTCTTAGGGAGTGGGGGTGAGGAAGCATTGTAGTTTAATGGAGATCGAGTCTCAATTTCCCTACTTGTGAGTGTTTTAAGCTTATTACAAAACCAAAAGAACAACTAAAATTTCACAGGGATAAGAACAGAACAGTGAAGATTTTAGGGGTTTTATTCCTGGGTTTATCATCAACTTCCTATCACTGCTAATTACACATAGAAGTTGTGCAGTTTTCTCTATCTGAAATGCAGCTGTCTGAAATCTGACCCTTGTAAAGTGTGGAACTGAAGCGTCTTTCTAAAAAGCAGCATGTTTTTTAGCTGCTTGCATACGTGCACAGTTAAAGCCTAAAACTAGGCAGCCGAGTTAAAATGTGGGAGACTTCCAAAGCTAGTTAATACCCGTTGGCCTTGGGAAATAGCTTCTGCTGGCTCCCAATCTTTCAGCCTGAATTATTCCATCATAAATTAATTCTGTTGTCTGTACTTGTCTCATTGCTGTTTGGCTGTCTATGGCCTCAGTTTACACAGCTTTAATGAGTAATTATGAGTTTCCTGTCTAGGTGCAGCAAAGAGATGAGCATGATAGATGTGACTCTTGCGTGCTCGGTTATTTACTCATCTTGGAGACATACCCCCTTCTGCCTAGCTTGGGGCTCATGGGAACTGTTATAGCCGTGTTCCTTGAGGGACTTGCTGGGGCAGAAGGAAGGCTGTGTTTGCAATGTAGTCCTCAAATACCTTTGTTTCATGTGGGTACAGTGTTACCAGCTCTGAATACAGGGCCTTGAGCTAATGCCTTGGTCACAAGCAGCCCTTAGTTCTTGGGATAAGAGAAGGAACTTCCCGATATTTCTAATATTCTTTGCATCTTAGAAACTGAGGGCATTGTCCTTGGTGCAAGTAGGGATCAAAGCAGCAGCAAGAGAGGAGTGGAGTGAGATAGGAATTGCTCACTTCCCAAGGGAAGTCTCAAGGAGTCTGCTCCTGCTTTTCCCTTGCCTTTGAAATCGGTAGCGTTAACTGCAGCTGCCTTTCCACTGCATGAGGAGTGAGCGCAGAGCTGTCAGCACTGAGATTTATTTTCCCCGTTATTTTGATGGCTGGTGCGTTATGGTTTGCCCACTTTTGTTTTAACAGCTAAAAGTTGTGCCTAAAGTACGAATGCAAAAAGGGAGATTTCTGTAGCTACAGGAGGGGCCTGGGTTTGTACATCTTAGACTTAGCTGGTGTATGCTATGTGCGGAAAGCTGGGGTCCTAGCTACATGGCTGCACAGACCTCCTGCCCCCCACTAGATCAGAGCTGTGTCTGCCCCACTCTGCCTGCACCTATTGGCATGGTGTTGGGGGCACTGTTAGTGCCTGTTCCTGCAGGGCCTGGAAACGCACTTCTGGTGTGCTCAGGTTTTCTTCCTTCCTTGGCCCATCTCTCCTACTGAAGCGAGGAGCCGCTTGAGATGCGCTTGTGCAGCAGGCTCATCAGACCTCATCAGGGAGCTGAAGCAGCATGCCGATTGCTGGGTCGGCTGCTGTGCCCAGCACAGCCTGCATATGTGTATTCCTCCTCTGTGGAGGTGACAAGGGAGGGCTGACTGCGATAAAACCAATCCTGTGCTGTAGCTGACGAACCTTGGTCTGGCGGACGAACCAAACCTTGGTCTGGTGGTTGTGATGCACTTAGCACAACATCAGGAGTGCTGGGCTGTAGCTTTGGACAATGTGCCCTTGGGCAAGTCCCTCCACCTTGTGCCTTGCTTTGAAAATACTAATGGAGTGTTTTAAAGCCATGTCTGCCTGCTCAGCTCTGCCTCCCCGGCTCCTGCGGAGGCTCGGGGCCAATGTCCTCCCCATTCGATGCGCGTGCGAGCGCTGATCGCTGAGCAGCACGGCTGAGTTTGCAGGAGCAGGGCTCTGGGGGCAGAGTTTCCCCCCTGTGAGTCACAGTGCTGTTTCATGCACCCAGGTGCTGGCACCTGGTGCTTCGGAGAGCAGCGGCCTCCTCTCCTTTGCTGTACGCGTCTGGCTGGCCAGTGTTGCAGTTCTGGTGTGGGGAATAATTATTGCTATAGCTTTGCTCTCAGTCATAGAGTGTTTTCCTCCGTTACCATACAGTTCAGTTCCTTGTTCAGTTCTCGGCTCTTTAGTGGAGGAGGATTACAGAAATAACATAAAAGGACAACTGTCTGTAGGGGGTGATGGCTGAATTTTCAGAAATGATGAAAACGGTCCCGTTCTGTAGCTCTGACTTGGACCCTTATGAGGTTCAGATTTGGGGACTTTTGGCTCATGCAGAGCGGCAGTGGACTGTTCCGGTGTTGCGTTGCCAATAGGGCTGTCTTTGGCCGAGCAGCGCCCTGGCATACCCTGGGAGAGACGAACTGCCCCCGGAGAAGAGCTGCTGTCAGAATACTTTAAAGTCGGTCAGGCTGGCTCTTACTTTGTGAGGTATATCAGCAAAGATTTTTCAGTGCCTCCAGTGGGAGGCTATTTTTATTCTATCCAGGGGCTGCCCTCTCTTATGAGGTCTTTATCACATTTTTTTTTCTGAATAGAGAAAAGTGCCTGTTTTAGGACAACTTTAAATATCTTCCTTTTTTTGCAATCTGAAAAAAAGACAGGCATTTACCCAAGGTAATTGGCATTTTTGTGGCATGTTCAAGATATGTACCTATATATTTATAAAGGGGATGCATAGACATGAAAATAGTTTTTCTCCCTTGAGCAGGGATGACAGCAACCAAGGTACCTAACGTTTCATCTTTCTTCTCTGATCAGTGTTTTGACTGTTGCATAAAACTCGTGTGTATGTGTCATTGCACCATAAAATCAAGGCTGGAAGAGATTTCAGGAGATCCTCTGGTCCATTTTCCTGCCCTATGGCAAGATCAGTCATACCTGTGTCATTGTTGACAGATGCTTGTCTGTGCTCTTTTAAAGACCTCCAGTGACACACTCTGTAGCATCTCCGGGCAGTATGTTTCAGTGCTTCACAATCCTGACTATTGGAAAGCTGGTCCCTCACCTCTGCAGCACGCCTTGTATTTAACCTGAAGCATCCTTTTGCAGTTTAAGCTTGTCACTTCTCGTCCTACCCGTTTTGGACACATAGGAAAGGTCATTCCTCTTTGCAGCGGTCTCTTAAACATTTGAAAACTACTCGTGTCCCTCTTTCTCTTCATGTTACATAATCTCATATTTTCTTTACTCCTTCATTGTGGCTTTAAATCTTTGATGTGAATCTTAATTGGCCTGTCTTCTCAAAATTGCATAAGTGAAAATCCCAGCTATTAAGTAATCTACAAACAGTTAAAGCCATTTGATCAGCCTTTTATTTATATACTTTCATAGAAGCCTTCTATGATGGCCAGGTTGCCTATCTGTACATCACTGTCTCAAATTGACTTCATGGCCTGGTGCTGATGCATGAGCCAAAAACCCACAAGGTTTTCTGCTTGGTTACTGCAGTTCTTTTGGAGAGAAAGATCAGGTGCCTGGCGTGATGCATTTCTTGGTGCAGTTTGTGCACTGGTTCTGCAGGAAAATGCTTGCAATGTGAAGGCTGTACCTTCAAACAGAAAGGGAGCCCAGATAGAGCCTAACCAATTATGGAGTCCCAGGTCTCTGTAAGCACCTAAAAAATACATCAGTAGATCTAGGAAATTTGGAAATTGGCATGTGCCTAAACAGGTGGTAGGTAGGCCATCAAGGGTTGCTGGCTATTAGGACCTTATGTGGCTCCATCTGAATAGTCAGATCATGCCTTGGCGTGTCCTGTGCTTTATGTGTTCTTGGTATGTAGGTTTCTGGGTCCAATGGAAAGTCAAAGAAACATATGCTTTTAATTTAAAGCTCTGAAATTTTCAGAAGTGGTACACTGGGTTTTATTTTGAGGGTCTTGATGATAATGCAGCATTCAAATTTTAGGGTGGTTGTTCACATTTTGACCCTGCCAGTTTTACCCCTATTCTGTAGTGCTTGTTTCTGAAACAGCCCTAAGCTGACTCAATAAATTCTCCTACTTCCTGCTGCAGGTTTAACTTGGTCCCCTCCATTTCCTATTGTGTGGAAAGGAAGGGAGGAATCCCTCCCTTTAGCAGATTGTGTGAAGATGACCAAGTACAGGTTATATTCCTTTTAAGTAATTGTCTTTGGATTTCTCTGTTACAGGTGAGTGTTTTAACCACGTTGGAGCGGCGATTCAACCTTCAGAGTGCTGACGTAGGAGTCATTGCCAGCAGCTTTGAGATTGGGAATCTGGCTCTCATCCTCTTCGTGAGCTACTTTGGAGCCCGAGGACACAGGCCACGCTTGATAGGATGCGGAGGGATAGTTATGGCCTTGGGCGCCCTCCTTTCTGCACTGCCTGAATTTCTGACCCATCAGTACGAGTATGAATCAGGGGAAATACGCTGGGGGGCTGAAGGGAGGGATGTGTGCGCTGCCAATGGATCCACCAGTGACGAGGGACCAGATCCGGACCTTATCTGCAGGAATAGGACTGCTACCAACATGATGTACCTGCTGCTCATTGGAGCACAGGTCCTCCTAGGCATTGGTGCTACCCCTGTCCAGCCCCTAGGAGTTTCCTACATTGATGACCACGTAAGGCGGAAAGATTCCTCCCTGTATATAGGTAAGACTCTTTGAACTTCTCACTGAGTGCTCCTGAGGGTCTCCTTGCCTGCTGGCATCTTGCTCTTATCTTATTTGTTTGCCAATAGAAGGGATGCCTTAAGGCCTCTTCTCCATGTGTTTGTGAAGGTAGCTTGATGTTGGTCTCTCTATACCTAACAGTTGCAAGCAATGCATCTTATGGTTTGCAGGGAAGTGCAGCAATGTTTTACTTGTAGTATTGGCAAGGTCAACAGCCACAGTGATTAATGGATAAATAAAGATGCTTGCTTAATGTCTACTTTTATTGTTTGCCCAAATTGCCTTAAATTCTGATGGTACTGGTCACTTACAGCTAAGATTTGGAAATTTTGCAAATAAATAGTTTGAGATATCAATTTTTTTTCTATTCAAGCTACCCAGTGGCCTCCCTCTTCTGGAGCTTTTTTCCACCTCTGGATGGTAGTTGTTGTATGAGGAGACCAAGAGGAGGTGCATATCTTGCCATTACTGCCTTTATATTTTAGCAAGCAAGCTCCTATTATGAAGTAGGTTCTGCCACCTGGCATGTTGGGACTGGACCCCAGAAAATGTGATCCTTGGAATGGAATGGGATGCGGAAGCTGGTGAGGTCTGTTTTGAGACATGGTGAGTCTGAAGTTGAACCCATGATTCTGGTGATCATGTTGCAAAAGTGTTCTAGATGGCTAAGATAGGAAACTTCTGTAATTGGGGTGAAGTATTCGTGGCTTTTGGTGGGGAGACATGTTTGCAACAGGTTTAAAGAGGATGCTGTGGGCAAAATCGTTCTTTGAAAAAACTTGTTGGCTTGGCTCATCCTTTCTGTAGGACTTGTCACTAGATAAACGGCTCCAATGCAATAAACTGGTGAAGTGTGTGTTGCCATTCATGTGTTCCTTCTGTGCTTGTTAGTTGCTGGAAAAGAAACTGCACTAAAACTGTCCACTTGTCTCTTCATCCCTTGCTTGACTTTTGACAATCAACAGACAGTGCCACTGGCTTTTTTTGTGAAGGCATTTTTCTTGATTTCCGGAGCATAGCTGAACACAGCTGTGGTATGGCCATAGCCAATGGAGATGAACAGTCCCACTGACTTTCTGCGTGGTGGTGTCTTGGGATAGCATGCAGGCCTGTTGGAAAGACTTGACTATATAGACTCTTATGGCTTTTTTAGATGTATTTGTCCACTACTTAAAAAGGTCCTCCAAAATATGCAAATTGTGTCTGTTTCTTCTTGAGCATAAAATCACAATATTTCAGCACTTAGCTTTGTCCATGGCTTCTTATTTACCTACACTTCATTCTATAAGTGCTTGTGAGGGATCCCCTGGATAGAGCAGGTTGATGTATAAAGTACAGGATACTGTACAACCCAAAGGTGAACAGCGAGACTAAATTCACTGGAGCAACTTTGTGAACACTGTAAACGATGAGCTGGTTTTAACAGTGATTAAGACTGTTATAAAACAGCTGTAAAGAAAATGACTAACTTCTTTCAGTCAATTCCAGGGGTGTTTTTTAAAGCAGTGCTTCATTTCTAAGAACAGGATTTAGGAAGGTGCATACAAGGAGCATGAGGAAGAGTGATTCTTTTTATTCCTTGGGTATATTCACCTGGTATACTAAAATAACTTCCTTAAAGGTGGCTGGGAAAATGCTGCCACAAACTTTCTGCTTGCTCAGGGCTTTTTCGTTACTTTTTTCTTCAGGTATATACTTCTAGCTATATAGCTTTCCTTTCTGCAGGCAGAGTAAGAAAACAATTTGGAGGGAGTTTCTGGCTTTAGCTATGAAAATCATAATTTGAATTTCTAGGTATGAGTTATGGGTTGGAGAAGATTGTATGTGCACACTCAGACAATCAACCATAGCAATAATGAAGTTTAATATCTGCCCTGTCAGCCTATCTATCACAAGTAGGTTTTCAGGCATTGAAAAATTAATTCTTACATCAAACTGCAATCAATTTGGTTAGTAAAAATAAAAGCTAACCTGAAAAAATGAACAAGAAAATCTATTTTGTAAATGAATATAAATGGTGAAGAAGCTGGCAAAAATGTATTCATAAACCTGAGAAGAGATGTACTTGAGGTCATACTCCTCAGTTTAAAAAATGTTGTTTGAAAATTATTTGCTCAGATTGGTATTTAACTGATTATTTTTACTGATGTTGTCAATGCAATTTTCAGCAGAAAGCTGGTTGAGCAGCTTACCCAGTTCATTCTCTTCTGTTTCACAGAAAATAAATGCAGAGCGTATATTGTCGCCGTGCTGCACTTCTATCAGTTTGCTTTCCCATAAAAACATGCTCACTCAGAGTCCATTCCTAAAGTAACTAAATAAAATATTTTTGGGTAAATTCCTTCATTTCAAATCAGGAGTAAATTTGGCATAGGTTGTTCCCTCGGGATAGAAACTAAGTAATAACAGTGGTGATAGTTTGGCCAAGCTTTCCACCATGTCTAGCTGCTGCTAAGAAACGATCAGATTGACCGGTCCATGCTGTCTTCAGTGTATTGCTAACTTGAAGTACACAGGTGCTGCATTTGGCCTGTATTGTAGCTGGAGGGAAGAAGTTGTCTCTTTCTTGACAGTTAAGTACTAGTAATTGTTCTCTTGCAGTAAAAATGTTCTCGTGTCCCAAGGCAGTCAGTTAGCAATAACTCTATACACGGAGGACTTTTTTTTTACTTTGTGTTGTACAAGAGGTGAGTGGAGAAACTTCATATAAGAACTAATATAGTCTTTCTGCTGAGGAATCACAATATTGGAAGACTCCTTTAAAAAAAAACCTTATCTCTGTATAATTGTATGTGTGCAAAAAATGCAGATGTGCACACCACATGAAATTTCAATAAATGTAGTGAAAGCTGAAAGCATCTGTGGAACATAATACATTTCTGGCAGTGAAGTCCATCAAATTCTGCATGTTGTGGTTTCTCTGCAATGACAAACACACAGGAGACGAAGGGCAGTCAACCTCTGCCATGTATCCTTTGAAGGCAGAGGCTGTTCGGATTTGTGCTGTGCCAAGAAGGGGGGGGATTCATGGGGTTTTACAATGAGATGAGGGAGGAATTTTATTAAAAGATATCTATGGCATGGGCTGCTAACATGCAATTTCATGTTTCTTGAGTTAATAGCAGATATGTTAAATTTTTTTTGACGCCTGCAAGATCTTGCTACCAAACTTGAACAGATTCTGTTGCTGTAGTAACCAGCTCTAGGAAAAGGGCTATGCTGTGGTAACTGAGGGCAAATGAAATCAAAAAAGTGTATGCACACAGGCATGCACCAAGAGGTGTTCAAAAGAAAACACATTTGTGCCATAACAGTGTTAGAGAGCTGGGGGAGCCATGTCTGCTCTCTCAAATGATGGGGAATGTATTCTCCTCCCACTTCAGCATCCAAGAGCTCATTCAACCCAAAGGTCCTAATGTTGGCCATAGCAGCCAAAGACAGAACGAATACAGTGATTGTCTTGCTCTTTGAAGCTGGGAAGATCTGCTATTTTGGTGCTGGTTTATTTGCTTGCTTGCTTATCTTACAATTTGTAATCTGCTGTCAGAATCTGCATTCCTTTTAAAAGGTTTCAGAACAAGTAGGCTGATTTTACCTGTGTATATGTTGGTATTCATCCTAAGTAACCGTTTTGAGCAGAGAAATTCCTCCCTCCTGCAGATTGTGCAGGGCTCGTTATTGCTGTGGCTTCAATAATGTCAAAGGATTCCTTCAACTCATGGCATCATTTATTTTAGAGGAGGAAAAGGATGTTGAGGACTACTTACTACACAGTTCCTTTCTTTACCCACTAATGACTCACTTGACATTTTTCTCTTTTCTCTAGTTGATTTTCTCATGAGTCTTGCCGAGTTCTATTGAAATCAACGGGGACTTTCCCAATAAGAAGGGGATCTGAGGCACTGTGGAGATGATCGGAGCGGGGGAAAAATCTGACTGTGACGGTGGTTGTATGGATTTGCTGCCTCTGAGATGAGCAAGAGCTAGTGAGTGTTTTCTGGTCACTGGAGTGCCTACTTTGCTCTCAGCAGTGGTTTATGTGCTCGGTTATAGCTAGAGCAGTAATGTGGTGTATTAATGTAATAATGCACCTCCTGGACTTCCTGTAGCTTATAACATTTACTGTTAAAAATTGTTGCATCTTGTCTAGGATGTGGTTACCTATAGAGCAGAATAAATAGCCTCTGGGAGCCAGAATATGGTCTGGGACAATTAAGGACTCTATTATATAGAGGAAGTTGCTATTGTTCTGTCTCCTATTGATGCAGGAAACTGATATTGATGTTGGAGGGGCAGCAGCCAGACTGTGTCACGCTCTGCTTGCTCGGAAGGATGCTGCGTTGGTCTTTAATGTGTTAGTGTCTCTTAAGTTGCTGAAACTGTCTCAGGGTGTGTCTCCCTAACTTTAACTTCATGGATGCGTTCCCCATGAGTTCAGGACTCTTTGCTTCTGGTTCTAGAAACGTTTTATTGTGATGACAGTTCCAGAAAAATGCTTAAGCTTGCTTCTGGAGAGCTCTTGCTTGCTTTAAGCACCAGCTCAAGGTTTGCTGCAGAGGAAGACAAATAAGCTCTAGCTGGAATCTTGCTGTCTCCAGAGATAAATTTGTCTGAAAAATCACTGATGGTAGCTTCTGTCAGTCAAAATGACAGCAATCTCTGTGTTCGGGAGCAGCAGAAACATTTTCTTTACTGACAAGAATTAAATTAGAGTTAGTATCTGTAGCAGTGGGTTAATAGCAAGTTACCAGCATAGTGTGCTGAAATCATCAGTTTCAGTCAACGTTTTGCATGTGGCAATATAACGAAATAGTACTCAAACTTCTACTGTGAAGCTCATGTTGGCAAGCTAAGCAGTTGCTGTGAACCTTGAAACCATTCATCTTATCTGATATTAGAGTTCATCAATAAATGCTAAAAGAACACTTCAGGGAGTAGGGTTTGTGATGTACAGAAAACAGAAGTGAAAACACATTCTGT